GAGAGCCTGGCAGCTATGCAGTGAGCTCCCCAAATTAATGGCTATTGTTGTTATTACTCAGTATTTCCTCCTTTTATCTGAGAATCATCTCATAGAGACACAGCTAGGAGTATGCAAGCGACCAAAACAGCGTCACAGTGCCCAAACACCTGGGCACTTCAGTCATAGAGAGGCGTGCCCAGAGCCTCATGTATTTACTGTGACTGTTACATGCAGCTCTAAGTGCATTAATAACAACGGGCACTTGATGGACCACCGACCCTGGGCCAGACATTTCACTCGATGTGCTGGGTTTGTGATCACACTGAACCCTCACAGGCCCACGAGGTAAGTACACTCATCGCCCTCATTTTACAGAGGAAGAGTGGAGACCGACAGAGGCTAAGTGACTTGCCCCAGGTGAAAGTGATGAAGTAGGACACCCAGGCCCGAAGCCAGCCAGTCTGACAGCAGCCTGTGCTCCGGAGCCACATGCCGCACTGCCCCAGAGATCCGCCGGTGATCCTGCTCCCGGCTCAGAGCAGGGTAAGAAAGAAGGCTGGGTTTCGGGGAGAGCTGCGGTGACCGGTGCGCTTGGAGTGACAGGCAGACTGACAGCTGCTGGAGTAACAGTGAGGCTGGGAGGGGATGGGATGCAAAGCTCCTGGAGAGAGACTGCTGTAGCACAGCTGTCCACACCCAGGCCCTGGAGGGTCAGAACGTCCTGATATATTTAATGCAATACCTATTAAAATCCCATCAGCATTCTTCACAGATATAGAAAAAATAATTTTACGCTTCGTATGGAACCAAAGAAGACCCCGAATATCAAGAGCAATTCTAGACAACAAAAACAAAATGGGAGGCATTAATATGCCAGATATCAAACTATACTACAAAGCTGTAGTAATTAAAACAATATGGTATTGGCACAAAAACAGGAATATTGACCAGTGGAACAGATGTGAGAATCCTGATATAAAACCATCCTCATATAGCCATCTCATCTTTGACAAAGCAGACAAAAACATACGCTGGGGAAAAGAATCTCTCTTCAATAAATGGTGCTGGGAAAACTGGATAGCCACCTGTAGAAGGCTAAAACAGGACCCACACCTTTCACCTCTCACAAAAACCAACTCACGCTGGATAACAGACTTAAACCTAAGATATGAAACTATTAGAACTCTAGAGGAAAAAGTTGGAAACACTCTCCTAGACATCGGCCTGGGCAAAGAGTTTATGAAGAAGTCCCCAAAGGCAATCACAGCAGCAACAAAAATAAATAAATGGGACATGATCAAACTACAAAGCTTCTGCACAGCCAAAGAAATAGTCATGAAAGTAAACAGACAACCTACAGAATGGGAGAAAATTTTTGCATCCTATGCATCCAATAAGGGACTGATAACTAGAATATACTTAGAACTCACGAAAATTAGGAAGAAAAAATCAAATAACCCCATTAAAAAGTGGGCAAAGGACTTAAACAGAAATTTTTCTAAAGAAGACAGAAGAATGGCCAACAAACATATGAAGAAATGCTCAACATCTCTAATCATCAGGGAAATGCAAATCAAAACCACAATGAGATATCACTTAACCCCAGTGAGAATGGCCTTTATCAAAAAATCTCCAAACAATAAATGCTGGCGTGGTTGCGGAGAGAGAGGAACACTCCTACACTGCTGGTGGGACTGCAAACTAGTGCAACCTCTGTGGAAAGCAATATGGAGATACCTTAAAGCGATACAAGTGAATCTACCATTTGATCCAGCAATCCCATTGCTGGGCATCTACCCAAATGATCCAGTGACACTCTACAAAAAAGACACCTGCACTCGAATGTTTCTAGCAGCACAATTCATAATTGCAAGGCTGTGGAAACAGCCCAAGTGCCCATCAATCCAAGAATGGATTAATAAAATGTGGTATATGTATACCATGGAGTACTATTCAGCTCTAAGAAACAATGGTGATATAGCACATCTTATATTTTCCTGGTTAGAGCTGGAACCCATACTACTAAGTGAAGTTTCCCAAGAATGGAAAAACAAGCACCAGATATATTCTCCAGCAAACTGGTATTAACTGAGTAGCACCTAAGTGGACACATAGGTGCTACAGTAATAGGGTATTGGGCAGGTAGGAGGAGGGAGGGGGGCGGGTATATACATACATAATGAGTGAGATGTGCACCATCTCGGGGATGGTCATGATGGAGACTCAGACTTTTGGGGGGAGGGGGGAAATGGGCATTTATTGAAACCTTAAAATCTGTACCCCCATAATATGCCAAAATAAAAAAAAAAAGGTGATGAAGGTGATAACATAATTTTATTTGAGAAGACAAAAAAAAACAATATTTTGGTGAAAAACTGAATGAGTATTTCAAGATTCCCTGGTGTCTTTAAAGTTTCATGAGACTAAAGGAAATAAAACATCTAAAATAAAAAAAAAAAAAAAAAGCTCCTTAGAGCATCATGAGTCCATAGCACAGTGCAATCATTTTCACTATGTCATCAAGAAAAATCAAATTGTGCAAATTGTGTGCTTAGGAAGGCAGAAAAACAGGGAAGGAAGAAACAGTGTGGGTGATGTATTAAAGGGGCCAATTCCCTTGGGACAGTTCTTCTATGCTGAATACTCTATATCTAAATTACATAAATAAGGCACCATCTTTTTAAAAGATGATATACAATTAAAGTAAGAGTTAAAGAAATGGGAACACCTAGGCATATCTGGACAGCTTGTTCATGACTCTTTACCTCGTGTTTTAACCCACTGCTTAATTTCACCCAGCTTCTACTATGCCTTGAAAAACATAATCGTTTAGTTCACTCCTCACCTGTCAGCTGAGAATCAAGACTTTCATGCCTTTAACCAGCGTCTCATTTAAAGGGCTCACCAACTATCACATCAGAAAATGTAAAGGCATATATATTTGAAATGGAGATGTAAATATTATTGAAACACAAACACCCGAGGGAAGAAGGCACTGAGTGGCCTTCCTGGCACAGGCAGCTGTCAGCTGGGTTTTACTTCCATCCGTGGCCACAGCAGAGGCTGGCAGAGGCAGAGGGACCTGCATTAAGCCAGGAGACTTGCTTTGGCCCAGAAGCCACTCATAGCTCCCTGTTGATAACCTTAGATTTTGTTTTATGCCTATCTGTATTCTCTAGGCTCCATAAAAATCTCTTTTCAAGTCCCCAAATGAAGCTTATCAGAACCTGGCTGCTTGAAACACATTTAAACCAAATTTGAAAGGATTTTAAAACAGGCATTTCAAATTGACATCATAACAATGATATCCTGAAACATATTATAACAATGATATCCTGATATCAATGATATCCCCTCTCTGCCTGGTTATCTGAGCAGGGAGAAGCCACCGGGAACTAGGGAAGAGCCCCCTTCATGGGTGGCCCGAGCTCTCACTTCAGCCCGGAGCAGTGTCTAGACAGCAGGAAGGCTGTTCCCACTCGAAACAAAGGGGACGCCCTTGTCCTTAGAGGCTACGGTGGCCAGATGTAGCAAATAGAAGTATAAGACACTCAGGGCTATATGAATTTCAGATAAGCAAAGAATAGTATTTTTTACTTTAAGTCCTACATGATATTTAAGACATGCTCATATTAAAAAATGATTTGCTGTTTATCTAAAATTCATACTTAACTGAGTGTCTTGTATTCCATCTGACATCGCTAGTCTAGGTTCCAATTCCCTAGGAGACCTGGGATGGGCGGGAAGTGGGCGAGTGGGGCTCGAGGGCTGGCCTGGCGGCACGGCAGGACCAGCGGCAGGCCTGGCGTCCCCTCCCCTCCGCTCCCCACCCTTCTCCCAGGAGGTGCCGAGGCTCCAGCCAGCCCACTGGCGGCACGGCAGGACCAGCGGCAGGCCTGGCGTTCCCTCCCCTCTGCTCCCCACCCTTCTCCCAGGAGGTGCAGAGGCTCCAGCCAGCCCACTGGCAGCACAGCAGGACCAGCGGCAGGCCTGGCGTCCCCTTCCCTCTGCTCCCCACCCTTCTCCCAGGAGGTGCAGAGGCTCCAGCCAGCCCACTGGCAGCCCATCTTCTCCTCTGGAAACACCTTCTTGTCTCCTCCGGCCAGCAGTCGTCATCCCCGCACTCCCCACGGGCCTCCTCCCACTCCACGCTTCACACTGCAGGGAGGCTGCACACGTCCGGATCTGTGCTTCCACATTCCACTGCTTCTTGTGCTGCTTCCCGAGAAGGCTGCAAATAGGCTTTGGAGGGGCTCTTGATTGGAGGTTTCCTTTTCTTTTTTTCTTTCCCCACATAGACCCTCTCCTGCCCAGTAGACTCAGATACCAAGAAGTTCATTGGTGTTTATTCTTGTCAGGCATAATTTCAAGCCCTGAGTTAAAGCAAGAGCTGAACCAGCATGTCCAACGTGCCTCACAGGGGATTTTGTGGGCTCTGCCCTACAAACACTGCCTTGATGCTGCCAACGGACACCCTGCCCCTCACTACTGCAGATTAGTGGTATTCAGTGGGCCACAACCCATAATCATATAGATTTAATAAAAATAGGGAGGACAGAGCTGCTGCTTTCAGGCTTCCAAGGGTGTGCTTGTAGCAAAACATTTATAGCTAAGCTATAAAAGGCATGGAAATATGGAAGAAACATTGACACAGCAATAAAACGAGGGGTGAGATTAATGATGCCATAATATAATCTGTTTTCATTTGGTGCAGAGAAAATTAATTTTTGAAGACATTTCATTTAATTTGCAATATTTTGCAGTTTAACCTTTGATGCCTGCAACTTTTTCTTTTATCTGCTCTCATCCTCCTTAAGACTGAGGGTGGGGGAAGCATGCTTCACATCTAGTTATAAGCATGGCTTCGTGGCAGACGATCTCTGCTTTGGACAGAGGTAAGGAAAACAGACTCAGGGAACAGAAGTTATTGCTGACCACGATTTGCAGCTCTTTACCTCCTAGGGAAACAGCCCCGTTATTATCTGAAATACAACTTCTGAAAGAATAAGATGTGTTACCTTCCAGAGCAAGGCACCGGGGCGGGCTGGACGACCAGGTAAGGCTGTGTAAGCACTCGAGGTACTCGGACCCCTCGAGTTTGAACCCAGGGAAGCAGCGATAGGCGACCACAGTCCCCACTGGGAAGGAGGTCTGGAACTCAGAGATGTTCACGTAGCCATTGGAGGAGGCCAGAGGCCTTAGGCAGCCTGTGGAGGCAAAAGAAAAAGGGAAGGGCTTCACTCGGTCATCTCTGCACATCTCAAAGTCAAACAGAACGCGGGGACTCCAGGGTTCCCCACTGTAAAAGGTCCCCGCCTCTGAAGAACGAAGCACCTTGCTCTCCGATGCTCAGCCTGCGCGTTCTACTTACCCCTCTGTTTATAACTCAGACATTCGCTTTTCTATTTGCAAAAGGCCAGAGACGTAGGGAAGAGGGAGAGAGGGTGGTGAGTGTCTGACTCTGATTGGCACACGCCTAGCCAGGCGGTTCCCACCTTGACTGCATCACCCGAGGAGCCTTTAAAAGCCTCCAGTGCCTTGGGTCTGGGGAGAGCCTAGGGACCATTCCTTTTTTTAAAGCTCCCCAAGTGATCCTGGTGTGCCCACAGGGCTGAGAACCACTGAGGCGCTGTAAGAGGAAAGTGGTGCCAACGGTTTCAGGGGTGGGGGTGGCTCAGGAGGGTTCTGTCCCAAACTCGATTCCGTTGTAGCAGGCTATGGGACAGAAACCTGCCTGAGGTGGTGCCCTTAAGCTTTTGAAAGTGAAATGTGAAATAGACGCGGAACCCTGCAGTGCAGCAGTTCTCAAATGCCCCGCTGGGCCGGCAGGACACAGACTGCTGGGCCCGTGTGCAGAGCTTCAGGCTCAGCCTGTGCAGGGCGGGGCTGAGGGCTGCACTGCTAGCTCCCAGGTGCTGCTGAGGGTCTGGGATCATGCTCAGAGGAGCACAGCTGCTGCGAGTCCGTGCGGCAAGCACACCGTCCGGGCCGGGATCCCACACTGCCACTTCCGCAAAGCGTGAGCTGGCTTTTTGTCGTGAAGCCTGTGCAGCCCAGTGGAACATGCCCACTGGCACAGAATCCTGTTGTGTGTGGCATCCACTGTGATCATGGAAATTTCTTATTGCTTCAGCAATTCCACTGGAGGGAATAATGACACTGCAGAGCCGGTGCACTTCCAGGGAGGACTAACCGTGTAAAGTAAATAATGTATAATGGAAATGCCCACATGCCCCGGAGTCACCAAGACTGTGCCTCACATGCACGGCAGCAGGTGACTGCAGCCCTCTCCTAAGCTGACTCTGTTAAGCACCGTAAGTATTTCGGAGCGACCTCTCAGCAAACTGCTTCAGTTGGCACCTGAATGCGGTGTCTACGCATCAGAGCGGGCGAGGGTGAGGCAGGTGGCGTGCCTGGGGTGGCGCGGTGCCAACGCTGCGCCACTGTACCCAGCCCCATAGCGCTCTGCGTGCAGCTCAACAGTCTTCTCAGACAGTGCCATCATGTTAGATTTTTTTTGAGCTGAAAACTGATAATGTTCACAGTAAAACTGAAGCGTATGCGTGTTTATGTAGGGGGCGGGGGAATGGGAGCCAGCAATAAACAGAATCAATCCCTGAGAAAAGCAGGTGAGCACAGTAACAGGAATAGGTGAAGGCACGAGAGCCCTGCGCGGTTCACATGGGCGGGCACAAGTGACTGCGTACACTAGAGAGGAGCTGTGGTTCTAAGCTACTCACACAGATAAACTGGTTTCTCCCAAATAAAAACTAGCTCGGACTCAGAGGGGAGCTTATCATTCGTGCAGTTAATCAGAGAAGGAAAGATGCGCTCACTCTTGGTTGGAGACAGCCTGGCCTAAATATAACAGCAGAAACCCGACTCAATCGCTCAATGTGATTTCCATTTGCACTTCTAGATAATGGAGAGAAGGCTCCTCAGGCTTCAGCCCCTGGATCTATAGGTGCAAATAAAAGTTACAGAATGAACTGTCACTCTAAGGGCCAATTATATTCCTCCTGGGTGCTCAGAGGGGTGGCAGGCTGTCTAAGGCTACTTCGATTCCTCATTCCCTGTGGTGTGGTGAGCAGGCGGGCAGGGGAAGCTGGCACAGTGGCAGCTCCGGCAAGCGGGGCCCCTCCTTGCTAAGTGCGGCGGGGCACAGGGTGGTGTGGGGGCAGGGTGCAGGCCAGGCCACCTCCTCTGCAGGACCAAGGGTGCTGAGAGGGAAGGACAGCTGGGCTGGGCTTGCATTGCTGTTGGAAGAGGCATGCCTCTCCAGAGGAGCCAGCCCTGTTGTTACAGACCTAGAAAAACTGTCTCGACCGGGATGTGAGTGACGGGGCAGGATCGCAAGCGTCTAGACAGAGCAACAGGAAAGCCTGGATCTGAATGCTGCAAAATGACACCCCAAGAGGTGTGCCAGAGCTGGATTTTTGAAAAAATCATTGGATGTGAGTACTGTTCAGCCATAAAAAAAAAATGGTGAACTCCCTATTGTATTAACCTGGATGGAGCTGGAGCCCATTCTACTAAGTGAAGTATCACGAGAATGGAAAAAGAAGCACCACGTGTACTCACCAGCAAACTGGTACTAATGGATCAACACTAACGTGCACATATGGAAGTAACATCCATGGGCGTCGGGCAGGCGGGGCGGAGGGGACGGGGAAATCCAGCCCTCGCGGGTGCGGTGCATGCCGCCTGGGACGGGCAGGCATGCAGCTCCGACTCAGGCGGTGCAAAGGCAATTTATGTAATCGAAGGGTTTCTACCCCTGTAATACTCTGAAATAAAAGAAATCACTGGGAAAAAAAGAACTCCCAAAGAAGCACACTGTATTTAAGTGACACACACACGGACCCAGAAAAGGTGGGAGGACACAACAGCGCACGTGGACAGTGTGAAGGCAGGAAGTCGCTGGAGTCTGAGGTGGTTTTCTTCGCTGTTACTCAGATTGTGCCGGACAACTAAAACGAATCAGCAGGTAAACAAGTTTTTTTGAAAAAGTAGCCCAAGAGCCTAGGAGCCAGCTGCTAATGTTGTAGACAGTCTGTGAAAATGCGGGCAAATCATGTCTCCTTTAAACATGCAACAGAGAGTGTGCTCGGCAGCACAGGCAGCGACGGCGGGGCTGCCCTTCCCCTAATCCCGAAGCCTTGTTCCTTCAAGGAGCCCGACTCTGCAGCTCCCACACAGGGAAACGGCTTCTTTCCAAAGGCGGGCACACACGGCAGTATCAGAGTCTGCCGGCTGTGATTTCCAAGCACAAAGTTAACATTCGTCTCAAGTTCAACATGCTGGTGCTTTTGGAGCAAATGAAATTGCTCTCCTCCTGCCTCGAATTATGAATTATGCATTGGCTTCTCAGTCCTTTGGTCCAAGTCACATGTCAAAAAATAAAATCGGAATTAATCTGAATTTGAGGGCTTACTTTCACAAACAGGGCCCTCTAAGTTGGCCCAGGCGAATGTAAAAAATGCAAGAGGATAAATATTCACTGTGTGGTTTGGATGAAATTTGGATTTGATTATTTTTCTGCTCTTCATGCATTATAAAAAAGGATGACATTATTAAGAGAAAGTAGCCTTGGTAAGATTGGCTTTAACTAAATTCTCACCACAACTGAAATAAGTATAAATGCCCTGTTATTTCCATTTAATATACAATAGTTCATCATTGTGTTCACAGCCCAGTTACAAGTCTCCTCATTCTTAAAGTACTTTTGATATCTTAAAGCAAAGGAGACGTCCAACATGCTAAAGAAGAAGGTCCTTCCCATATATACTTTCAAACTGGGTGCACGGCGCTGAGCAAGCTACAAGGAGTGATGACAGCGACTCTAAGAACAGAGATTTGGCAATCACAGGAGAGACACAGCTGGGTCCACGTGGGGTAGCTAGATGGTTTTGTTTCTCCCCACCATCTCTATCACTCTGTTAGAGAGACATGCACATGGCCTACGATAAAGCCCAAGAGAGAAACAGCCCAGCTGAGAACGGCAGTGTCCGCTTCGTACCTTGACAGATGGGCAGATTATCCCACATTCCATCTTCACGACATAACGAAACCAGGTTGTACAGGTCGGGGTAACGGATCTTGAATCCTTCATGACAAGTGATGACTAACTTATCTCCGAGTCTGTATGTCTTGTTATGAATTTCAGCATCTTCAATTTGAGGGATACGGCAATCTGCAATTTTTGTAAAAGGCATACATTATTTTTGGAATTTAAAAACAGTTGTGTTAACAGCTTCCTGAGCAAGCTCTTACTTTCAGACCTGGTCTCACCCTATGCAGCAATCTGAGAATGGAACCTTCTTTGTCACTGAGCTCAGGTGCCAACGACAAGTAGCAGAGCTTGCTTCATGGACTAACAAGAAGGGGCGGCTCAGAGAGGAGGGCCCCGCGTTTGGGAATCCAGTCACAAAAGGAACTTTATGTCCTGCCTGTGACACCTCACACCGCACATTTGGTCGTATGAACGATTTTGGGAATAAGTGAAGAAAGACAAGTGTTGGGATTGACCTGAGCTACCTGGCCACACACTCTGCTGTGTTTGTGGAGGGTCTGCAGCGCCACGCAGCCGGCCAGGCGGCCCCAGCCGCCCACACTCACGCCACCTCTGCCCGCGGGTCTGGCCCGAGCTTGTGGAATGGCGTGAGGGGTGGACTCTGGGCCACATTTGCCATCGGCATTTCCCGTCCACCTTATCTGGTTTTTAAAAAATAATAAATAGAGCAGCTCATGCCGTCGCAATCTCACAAAGGCTCGGAGCGAGTCCCGGCCTCCGAGAAATGCAGTGAGAGCAGAATGCTTGTGTCCGGGAGGACAGGAAGCCAGGCCGGGGCAGCACAAAGGAGCCCGGGCAGCAGAGTGAAGGAAAGAGAAAATAAAAGGAACATTTTATCAGTTATCCACGAGTCACAGTATCCACTTCCAATGTGCTGTCCGGCCATTCTGCTCCTTGCAGCCCAACCCCCCAACCCCAAATGCTGCCGACTGACCCCATCTGGTTTCAGCCCCATTGGCTCACTCTCTCTCTGTGGTGCATCCCTGTCTAATGTGCCTGGTTTTATATGCGCGGAAGCATGACCCACAGGTGGGTTATGTTCTAAATGTGTTGGCTCTTCATTTTTGGAAAGAAGGCAAAATCCAAGAACAGCACTTTGTCAATCATAGAAACTTCCTCCAGAAATTTCTCAATGCTTTGAAAGACTGTGGGGTTCTTATCTGCTTTCCCAAACTCTATAGAATCTACAGTATGGTTGGAATGGCGTTAACAGGAACCCTGACCTTTAGGTTGCTCCGAGCTTGGAACTGTCAGCTCTGAGGCCCTGGGAACCCCAATGCAGGTGGCAGGGACGGTAAGGAGCTGTGGCTGGGTGGGTGGGTGGCACTGGTGGCTGGAAAATTTGGTGGCTTGTAAAAGGGCACATCCCCAGAACAAAGAGGGGTGACTGGGCTGGGCTTATTGGGCAGTCTGACGCAACAGACTGCAGAAAACAGGACGGCAATGATGGAAAAGGCCTGGGCAGCAAGGCTGCCTGCGAGAGGGGGGCCCGCCGCGGGAGGGAGGGGTGGTGGCTGGTCTGCCTTTTTCTCAGCCTTTGTCACCACCTCTAGCTTGAGCAAGGACTGTGTCACTCCCTCCCTCTGACCTTCCTTCCGTTCTTCCAGACCTGTGTGCATACCTGGCAAAGAGGAAGTGCTGGTGGGGGGGTCTCTGACCCTCTGCCTGAGAACCTGCCAGCGCACAGCCCTTGGGAGCCCGGCTGCCAGGCTCCTGGCCGCCAGGCCCCAGCCAAGCCCCCTGGCTCAGCCCTCCTGGGAGACTCATCACAGGCCTTCCCTTTGCCCACGGACCACAACAGAGTCTTGGCTAAAGAGCTGTGTTCTGGTTTCAATTCGTTTATAAGAGTTTTGGGCTGTGGAAACGGGTTTCGGGACTGTTCATGTTTACTCAATAGTTTTGCTGCTAGAGCAGGAATCCGCCCCGAATCAATCCCAATCCCAGAATCCCAGAATATCTTGTGGCCTGAGTCACAAGACAGCTGACCCTGCTTTGCACAGCCCCACCACCTCCTTCTTAATGGAAAGTGAGAATCACGTTTGTTCAATGGCACTACACAGAAATTACAGCAAAGGAAAACACATTCATCAAGGCATCCTTCTGTAAAATCTTGGCTGAAAATGGGTCCTGTGGCAGAAATATGTGAGTCTAAACAACTGTTTTCGTGATTTACTTAAAACTCATTCAATTTATAACCAGCATACTCAGGAGGTGGTCAGCTATAGAGAGGGAAGTCCGTGGGCAGACACGTCCATTAGACCTTGTGGACGCACGGACATCGGCGGGGCAGGAGAGAGCCCCTGCGAATTGCTTGTTCCCAAGGCTGAATCTCCGCATAGTGGAGTCCGAGGTCGAAAGCTCGGAACTTCCAATTAGAAATCCAAGTCTCCACAGCAGGAGCTGGGGCCTGCGAGCACATGACAGGCTTTGAAGGGAGTTCACAGCCTCCAGAGTCACCCTAGGAGTGGGGCAGGGCCGGTTACCCACGTGGGAGGAGCCATGTAGCCACTTGAGAGTGAGATTTTGACAGTTCAAGGTGGAGAGAGCGGGAGGGACTGTGCCCTGGGAGTAAGGACAAAACTAAGGCAGACCAGCTCTAACAAATTCTGAACTTTGATGGGAGAAAATATCCAGAGCCTCCCTGGTATCTGCCCTGCCGCGTCTGGGATCTAGCCCCACTGGCGGTGGGAAGCGGAGGGCGTCTGGAGCAACTGTGTACCCCAGTGAGCTCCCGTTGCAGCAAACAGCCATGGACCGTTCTTATTTCTGTGGAAGGAAAGAATTCAGGATCTTTAGTATCTGAAAACAAATGTGTCATTTCCATCAACTCTAAAGTTTCAAATGGAAATATAATTTCCTATAGCATAAATCCATCCAGTCAACAGAAAGAATTTTTAGAAGTGACTTCAAACATATTGTTACCAAGTACTATTAAAAATATTTATCAGTATCTGAATCTGTCATGTAGAATCAGCCAACAATCAGAACGTATGTACACGGGCATGATCGGGCACTTTCAGGCTGTAACTGGAGGAATATCGAAGGTTCCATTCTGGAAATCATCTTTGCTCACCAGCCCACTGCTGCCAATTTCACACTTCTAGTAATGATGGGGATTCAATACAGCGAATAGATAAAAGAAGGGGTAAAAGATCCTAAGGGAATATTATCTATTTATACCTAAGTACAAATTAAATTATCAAATTAGCGGAGAGCAGAGTCCTAAGGGATGGAGTAGAAATAGAAAATAGAAAAAGAAATTTTCAAGAAATTGAAATTGGATTTAGTTTTTTTTAAATGTTAGTTATATGCGAAAATGAATCTGATTCCTTAAATATACCAAGTTTTGACACTGATATGCTCTAAAAACTGTTCCCAGGAACATGAATATATGATAAGCACTCAAGGATTCACAATCCATATAGTATATTAAAGGCTTTGTAGCTCTTACCATAAATAATTCTACTTATTTTGTTTAAACCAGCATTTGTAAAGCTTACTTATTCATTGAGCTGTTCATTCACCCATTCAGTGAATGAGCACTTACTCTAGGCTCGGTATGTTCTAGGTGCTGGGGATGTAGAAAAAACAGAGGATCTTACAGTCTTGCACGAGGGAGACTGCTGACAGGTTAACAGGGCTGGGAAAGAACAGGCCGCACTCACTGCTATGAGGGACACAACAAGGTGACACAGAAAGGACAAACTTGGGGACTCATTGAACTTGGGTAGACAGGAAAGGGGCCTCCAAGGAAACAACATTTCTTAGGCTGAGACCAGAATGACAAGAAGGACGGATTACGTATGGATCTAGAAGAACATTTCAGGCAGCGGGAACAGCTAATTCAAAGGCCAGGAAAGGGCTCGGTGTCCTTAAAAACACCAATGGAGATCTGTGTATTTGAAAGATAGTGACCAATGGAAAGGCCAGAACATGTGGGGTCTTGCAGGTTAGGGCAGGAAATTGGGGTTTTATTTTAGTGGGATGGAGAGCTACTGGAGTTTATTAAGCATCAGCCATGACATGATCTGATTTATATCCTCAAAGCATTTTCCATATGCACAGTAAAGAATTAGCCTTGCCCGAGTTGAGGTTTGTCATTTGCCCTCAGCTCCTGAGAGGCAACCTCTAGCCTCTGGAATGTCCTGCCAGAGATGAGAGTCCTTGTTTACCTGGAGGCTCTGTGTGGCCACGCCACATAGTCTCTGCCAACAGTATGGCAGGCTGGAGGCCTTGGGCCATGCAGTGTCAGCTCAACTTCTGGAGAGACAGGAGACTAGGGCCAGGCACACAGTGGTCAGCCATGCGTACACGACTGAGCCCCAATAAAACTTCCGGACACCAAAGCATGGTGAGTTTTCCTGGTTGTCAGCACTCTGTGTGTATTGTCATGTACTGCTGCAGGGGAAAAGAGGTACCGTCCACACAGCTCCACTGGGAGACGACACCTGAGCTCATGCCTGGTGACCCCTGGACCCCATCCTATACACCTCTTTTTTTAGCTGATTTTAATCTATGGTCTTTCATTGTAATAAAACTCAACCATGAGCATAATAGTTCTTCTGAGTCTGTAAGTCCTTCCAGTGATTCATTGAACCGAGGGTGCCCTTGGGGACCCCAAACTTGCAGCTGGGATCAGAGGTGAGCTTGGTCTTGGGGACTCCCGGACTTTGTGCCACGAGATGCTTTTTTCACTTAATATTTTCAAATACCCCTCAGAAGTGATGTTTCCATACCAGTGCTGCTCCACACTCTGCTTGTCTAAAGAACTGCATTCCAACACAACTCAAGGGCCACTGTCCTGACCACCACAGTTCACTCCGGATTGGGCTGAAGAAGACGAATGGAGCCACCTGGGGCAAATGATGTCCCGGACATAAACAATCAGCACAAGGCAGGAAAAAGAGGGGTAGGAGCTCACACTGTTGGGAAAGGAGAGGACTGGGGAGGGAGGGCGCCTCACAGAAAAGCAGGTGCCACCACACGGGGAGTTTTGCTTTGGGGGCAGGGCTGGTCCAAGCGGTTTCTTTCTTATTTAAAGGATATGGACTCTTTGAAACCTGAAAAGGGATTGGAGCAGGACACTCTAGACCTGGTGGCTCTCAGCTGAATGCTAATTA